AAGGGCTCTTGGACATCCATTGGTCTCACACAGGCAGTTGGTTTCTGCTGCATCGCGCTGGGCTTTGATGGCAAAGCTGTAGGAACCGTCCGAGAGGAAGGCCGAGTGTTGCTGCTCAGGTCAATGTCTGAGCCGTCCTGACTTTCCTCTTCCTCTGATCCTGTCACTAGGTCCTGAAACGATTTTCTTTGACTGTAGGTCAGCTCCTGGCTTTTGCTGCTCTTTTCTGACTTGGAACTGACGTGCAGGTCGGAACGCACAGGTGACAGAGGTTCCAGTGGAGGAGGCAAAGGTGTCAGAAATGAAGAAAATGAGAAAATGGAGTAGTCCAGATCATGAGCACGACCTTCACCAGCCGCACGCCTGTCACTTCCCTTGCGATGAAGACCTTCGTGACTTTCCTTGTCACCACAACTGCGTTTGCGACTTTGGCTCTGACCGTCGGATGAGCTGCCGCTCTGCACGTGCAAACCTGAATGTGGTTTTGCCCTTGATTGTGCCTTTTCGCAGGGACTTGAGCGGTGAGCAGGAGGAGCACTTACAGCCGTAGTGGGTGGATGGTGGGCTGTGTCATGGAATGAAGGTGATGTAGGGCTGGTATTTTCATCAAGGGAGTGTGGGAAATGAGGTGCTTCAGGTGAGACCGGAGGAAGGACTTCGTGAAGCCCTAAGAAATTCCATTGGGTTTTGGAGTTGATGAGCCCCATGACATCCTCATAATTGCCCAGCACGTTCCGAATTTGGTTTGACAAGTCATCTCCTTTATGAGTCTGCAACAGAAGAACAGAGGCAGAAATGGAAAAAGCACGGACCCTCAACTTCAGGAGACTCAGCTCTGTAAGAGAGATTCGTCAGGATCTTAATTGCATCACCATGTATCACCACAAGCAAAGTTAGGCAAGCTCATCTTGATCCTGCAGTGCGGTCCCTCCAAAGCAAGTGGGACTGCTCTGCTCACTCTTAGTTCTTCTGAGCCAAACTTGTAGGTGTGCCTGCAGTCTTCAGGAACACTAACAGCAGACCCGTTTGTTTCTATCACAGCTGCACGCAGACAGGCAGCCAAGCTGCTCTTGGGTGCTCTCCCTCAAATTCCCAAACTACAGGAAGTAGCCTCCAAATGAATCTGCCCAGCCCAAAGACCTTACTGCGCTTGCACCATCTTCAGAGCTTTAAACACATACTCTGATGAGCTTAAGTTAAGCAGATGGGAAGATGCTGGTTCTGCACGTATCACACTCAACTCTGCTACACCATATGCAGAAGCCACAGCTCTGCTCTTACGCTCCAACCATCTTTCCTCCTCTCCCTCCACCACACACACATCCCCACACCCCCCCCCCCATCATTACCTTGTAGGGTGCTGCAAAGACGGGAGGCTTCTCAGGGAGCTTGTTTTGCTCCTGCTGAGCCTCCCTAATTCGTCTCTCTCTCTCTCTAGCATGCAGCAGGTTTCTGTCCTCATTGCATAAGCTTTAGGAAAGAGAGAAAGAAAGGATGGTTAACGCTTTACACCACTGTTACCAACAAGTACCTACTGTGCTTTTCAGACAACAGTGCATGTCCAGCATGAAAGTCATTTTGAACAGGATGCTTACAGTTGGCAAATCAGTTACGTCATGTCACCGCATGGTGCTATAATACATACAAGGTACAGCAAGCATCCTTCTCAGGGCTTTCTACTCTTGATACCATACATCAAGAAAGGTGGGAAGGGAAAAACTATCCGTCCATTGAATCTTTTCAGTGGTGCTCAACGGCAGGACCAATGGCCACAAACTAAAAGTCAAGAAGCTTCACCCCAACGTGAGGAAGAACTTCTTTACATCAAGGGTGGCAGAGCACTGGAACAAGCTGCCCAGGAGAGTAGTGGTGGCCCCCTCTCTGGAGACATTCCAAACCTGCCTGGGCACGTTCCTGCGTCATCTGCTCTAGGTGGCCCCGCCTTGCCAGGGCGGGTGGGCTGTATGATCTCCAGAGGTCCCTTCCAACCCTCACGATTCTGTGATTCTGTCTAACTCTTCACCTGAGGGTAAAAAAGAATCTACTATTTTGAAGGTGTTGCCACTTTCAGAGACTGAACTTTGCCAGCTTTATAAACAGGCTTGAAAACTTAGTCTTTACTTTAAATGGGCAGTCAGAAAGCTGCTTGCTTACCTGCCAAACCATGCAGTTGCATTTAAAGCAATCGTGCAAATGTATTTAAAGTGGTGGTCTCAGAAATCTGGAAAGCGCCAGGTCAAATCCCCCTGTTCCTCCTCAACCACATACGCATACACTCAATTCCGCCAGCCCCACATCAAAACAGCAATAAAGCTGCGTCACATGCGCTGCAGAATAACTTCACGGAAAGCCAGAGACTTTAAACTACACCACCTCTGTGAAATACTCCTGCAAAATCTGGGACTATTAATGGACATTTGTCAAGCAGCAGCACGGAGGCACAGTATGTGGATGCAGGCATTGGCCTCCTCTCCTGCTTCTACTCTACTCACAGGCACACTATGTGGATGCATTATTTTTCTCTCTTCCCTCCTCTTTCTACCCTACCGCACAGTCTACTGCATACATGCAATTCCTATGTTCTTCTTAGTACACTCAACTTCTCGAGCGTCCCAGTTTGGAAGGGAAGAGCCTTGCCTTCCCCACCACTGACATTTTCTCAAATACCACACCGATGATCCCCTACTGAAGGTCAAGCTAGAGCCCTGGCTTTCCTGAAACAGTTAATCAAGAGGTCCAATTACTGCAAAAGTGGCTTCCTGACACAATGTGAGCTATGGAAAACTGCTGTCTGATGGCAAGCTTCCTGCTAGGCCCTGCTCCCATGTGCCCTCCTGCCACCCAAGAAAACGGCTGTGTGACCTCCAAGACATCAAAAGCGTGGCCCTAGCCTTGGAGCCAAGCCAAGCTTCACAGCCAGCCAGTGGCGCTAACATTTATGCTGTAGCCCCTCTTAGCACGCAGCCTATTAAAGCAACGGGCTGATACAGCAGGCCAGTAAATCATGCCAGTAAGTCATCATACAAAGGAAAGGGAAAGGATGCCGCAAACTTAAGCCTTTGCCACTTGAAGTGCTCCCAGTCTCCCCACATGCAGAGAGAGCAGGTAGTCAGAGCCAGAGAAGAGTTCAGCTGTTAACGAAGCAGTCAACCTTCCCGTCCTGCTTCCCCAAAGCTCAGGGCTCTGTCATCTTGCAGTCTGCAACGTAAAGCCACCTCTTGGCTTCAAGCCTGTCGAAAAGCACCACTGTGAAAACACACTGCGGAGCGCCAAAGTTCTGTGCAGGATATACCACCCGTTTTAATTACTTGTACTCATCCCTCGCCTGGAGCGCAGGGGAGCGGGGGGGGGGGGGGGGGGGGGGGGCTAAAGAGCAACGAGAGGAGTTTCTCCCCTTGGCATTTCTGACATGCTCGTTAAAGCATCCTAAAAGCTAACAAGGCATTTAACGGGTACCTTAAACGGCACTGCGTCATCAAACACCGTGACTTCAGAAAAGCTGCCTCCCCCATGCCGAGGGTGAAGTTTACCTTAGACAGGATGCCCCCCGCCCCCCAGCAGGCAGAACACAGTCACCCGAAAAGGATTTAACCGCCACTGCTGCATTCGCTCGAATTCTACTGCCTGACAGCAACGACATCGGAGCCTTCGTTTCCGTACTCTTCTCTACAACCATTTCCCACCTATCCAGCAGGCCTGCACACAGGCAGACGCAACCTCCCATTTACACTGCCAGTTCTCCAACCCAATCGAACAGAAACCATTTACCACCTCTTCAAACACCGCCGCGGGCAACCACACAAACCTGTTCAGGCTGGGCTGGCTACAAGAGAAAACCACCAAAAGAGATACGGACAAGTCCCCAGGGGAGGAGAAAATCAGTTTCCCAGTGTTGTTAACTTGTTGGGGAGGGGTCTGACAGCGAGAATTAGGACTCTGGGTTTCCAGCTAAAAGCAGCTTTATGCTGAGCTGAGGCAGCGGCGCCTCAGTGAGCGAAACGCATCAACGGAATCCAGCCAGGACGCCTCTCCACACACACCGCACCAACAGCAAACTCTGCCCGGCAAGGAGCGAAGGCATCATTACCACACCAACAGCGACACAGGCTCTTTAACGCCCTACCTCGACTGGGCAGCCGTCGCCAAGTTTAAAGCCCCAAGTGTCTTCTCTCCATGAGTTCTCTCCCCAGCTACCCAGGCTCTACCCGGCTGCCAACGCCTCCTCGTCCATGTGGCGGTGCCGCGTCGCCCTCCTCCGGACGGCCGTCAGCGTGCGGCTCCAAGCGGCCACCGCACCGCACCCCTCGCTCCCCGCAGCCCGGCGCCCCGAGCCCGGCCTGCCTCACACTCATCTTGACAGACATGCGGGCAGTTGATGCGTTTCGCTCACTGAGGCGCCGCTGCCTCAGCTCAGCATAAAGCTGCTTTTAGCTGGAAACCCAGAGTCCTAATTCTCGCTGTCAGACCCCTCCCCAACAAGTTAACAACACTGGGAAACTGATTTTCTCCTCCCCTGGGGACTTGTCCGTATCTCTTTTGGTGGTTTTCTCTTGTAGCCAGCCCAGCCTGAACAGGTTTGTGTGGTTGCCCGCGGCGGTGTTTGAAGAGGTGGTAAATGGTTTCTGTTCGATTGGGTTGGAGAGCTGGCAGTGTAAATGGGAGGTTGCGTCTGCCTGTGTGCAGGCCTGCTGGATAGGTGGGAAATGGTTGTAGAGAAGAGTACGGAAACGAAGGCTCCGATGTCGTTGCTGTCAGGCAGTAGAATTCGAGCGAATGCAGCAGTGGCGGTTAAATCCTTTTCGGGTGACTGTGTTCTGCCTGCTGGGGGGCGGGGGGCATCCTGTCTAAGGTAAACTTCACCCTCGGCATGGAGGCAGCTTTTCTGAAGTCACGGTGTTTGATGACGCAGTGCCGTTTAAGGTACCCGTTAAATGCCTTGTTAGCTTTTAGGATGCTTTAACGAGCATGTCAGAAATGCCAAGGGGAGAAACTCCTCTCGTTGCTCTTTAGCCCCCCCCCCCCCCGCTCCCCTGCGCTCCAGGCGAGGGATGAGTACAAGTAATTAAAACGGGTGGTATATCCTGCACAGAACTTTGGCGCTCCGCAGTGTGTTTTCACAGTGGTGCTTTTCGACAGGCTTGAAGCCAAGAGGTGGCTTTACGTTGCAGACTGCAAGATGACAGAGCCCTGAGCTTTGGGGAAGCAGGACGGGAAGGTTGACTGCTTCGTTAACAGCTGAACTCTTCTCTGGCTCTGACTACCTGCTCTCTCTGCATGTGGGGAGACTGGGAGCACTTCAAGTGGCAAAGGCTTAAGTTTGCGGCATCCTTTCCCTTTCCTTTGTATGATGACTTACTGGCATGATTTACTGGCCTGCTGTATCAGCCCGTTGCTTTAATAGGCTGCGTGCTAAGAGGGGCTACAGCATAAATGTTAGCGCCACTGGCTGGCTGTGAAGCTTGGCTTGGCTCCAAGGCTAGGGCCACGCTTTTGATGTCTTGGAGGTCACACAGCCGTTTTCTTGGGTGGCAGGAGGGCACATGGGAGCAGGGCCTAGCAGGAAGCTTGCCATCAGACAGCAGTTTTCCATAGCTCACATTGTGTCAGGAAGCCACTTTTGCAGTAATTGGACCTCTTGATTAACTGTTTCAGGAAAGCCAGGGCTCTAGCTTGACCTTCAGTAGGGGATCATCGGTGTGGTATTTGAGAAAATGTCAGTGGTGGGGAAGGCAAGGCTCTTCCCTTCCAAACTGGGACGCTCGAGAAGTTGAGTGTACTAAGAAGAACATAGGAATTGCATGTATGCAGTAGACTGTGCGGTAGGGTAGAAAGAGGAGGGAAGAGAGAAAAATAATGCATCCACATAGTGTGCCTGTGAGTAGAGTAGAAGCAGGAGAGGAGGCCAATGCCTGCATCCACATACTGTGCCTCCGTGCTGCTGCTTGACAAATGTCCATTAATAGTCCCAGATTTTGCAGGAGTATTTCACAGAGGTGGTGTAGTTTAAAGTCTCTGGCTTTCCGTGAAGTTATTCTGCAGCGCATGTGACGCAGCTTTATTGCTGTTTTGATGTGGGGCTGGCGGAATTGAGTGTATGCGTATGTGGTTGAGGAGGAACAGGGGGATTTGACCTGGCGCTTTCCAGATTTCTGAGACCACCACTTTAAATACATTTGCACGATTGCTTTAAATGCAACTGCATGGTTTGGCAGGTAAGCAAGCAGCTTTCTGACTGCCCATTTAAAGTAAAGACTAAGTTTTCAAGCCTGTTTATAAAGCTGGCAAAGTTCAGTCTCTGAAAGTGGCAACACCTTCAAAATAGTAGATTCTTTTTTACCCTCAGGTGAAGAGTTAGACAGAATCACAGAATCGTGAGGGTTGGAAGGGACCTCTGGAGATCATACAGCCCACCCGCCCTGGCAAGGCGGGGCCACCTAGAGCAGATGACGCAGGAACGTGCCCAGGCAGGTTTGGAATGTCTCCAGAGAGGGGGCCACCACTACTCTCCTGGGCAGCTTGTTCCAGTGCTCTGCCACCCTTGATGTAAAGAAGTTCTTCCTCACGTTGGGGTGAAGCTTCTTGACTTTTAGTTTGTGGCCATTGGTCCTGCCGTTGAGCACCACTGAAAAGATTCAATGGACGGATAGTTTTTCCCTTCCCACCTTTCTTGATGTATGGTATCAAGAGTAGAAAGCCCTGAGAAGGATGCTTGCTGTACCTTGTATGTATTATAGCACCATGCGGTGACATGACGTAACTGATTTGCCAACTGTAAGCATCCTGTTCAAAATGACTTTCATGCTGGACATGCACTGTTGTCTGAAAAGCACAGTAGGTACTTGTTGGTAACAGTGGTGTAAAGCGTTAACCATCCTTTCTTTCTCTCTTTCCTAAAGCTTATGCAATGAGGACAGAAACCTGCTGCATGCTAGAGAGAGAGAGAGACGAATTAGGGAGGCTCAGCAGGAGCAAAACAAGCTCCCTGAGAAGCCTCCCGTCTTTGCAGCACCCTACAAGGTAATGATGGGGGGGGGGGGGGTGTGGGGATGTGTGTGTGGTGGAGGGAGAGGAGGAAAGATGGTTGGAGCGTAAGAGCAGAGCTGTGGCTTCTGCATATGGTGTAGCAGAGTTGAGTGTGATACGTGCAGAACCAGCATCTTCCCATCTGCTTAACTTAAGCTCATCAGAGTATGTGTTTAAAGCTCTGAAGATGGTGCAAGCGCAGTAAGGTCTTTGGGCTGGGCAGATTCATTTGGAGGCTACTTCCTGTAGTTTGGGAATTTGAGGGAGAGCACCCAAGAGCAGCTTGGCTGCCTGTCTGCGTGCAGCTGTGATAGAAACAAACGGGTCTGCTGTTAGTGTTCCTGAAGACTGCAGGCACACCTACAAGTTTGGCTCAGAAGAACTAAGAGTGAGCAGAGCAGTCCCACTTGCTTTGGAGGGACCGCACTGCAGGATCAAGATGAGCTTGCCTAACTTTGCTTGTGGTGATACATGGTGATGCAATTAAGATCCTGACGAATCTCTCTTACAGAGCTGAGTCTCCTGAAGTTGAGGGTCCGTGCTTTTTCCATTTCTGCCTCTGTTCTTCTGTTGCAGACTCATAAAGGAGATGACTTGTCAAACCAAATTCGGAACGTGCTGGGCAATTATGAGGATGTCATGGGGCTCATCAACTCCAAAACCCAATGGAATTTCTTAGGGCTTCACGAAGTCCTTCCTCCGGTCTCACCTGAAGCACCTCATTTCCCACACTCCCTTGATGAAAATACCAGCCCTACATCACCTTCATTCCATGACACAGCCCACCATCCACCCACTACGGCTGTAAGTGCTCCTCCTGCTCACCGCTCAAGTCCCTGCGAAAAGGCACAATCAAGGGCAAAACCACATTCAGGTTTGCACGTGCAGAGCGGCAGCTCATCCGACGGTCAGAGCCAAAGTCGCAAACGCAGTTGTGGTGACAAGGAAAGTCACGAAGGTCTTCATCGCAAGGGAAGTGACAGGCGTGCGGCTGGTGAAGGTCGTGCTCATGATCTGGACTACTCCATTTTCTCATTTTCTTCATTTCTGACACCTTTGCCTCCTCCACTGGAACCTCTGTCACCTGTGCGTTCCGACCTGCACGTCAGTTCCAAGTCAGAAAAGAGCAGCAAAAGCCAGGAGCTGACCTACAGTCAAAGAAAATCGTTTCAGGACCTAGTGACAGGATCAGAGGAAGAGGAAAGTCAGGACGGCTCAGACATTGACCTGAGCAGCAACACTCGGCCTTCCTCTCGGACGGTTCCTACAGCTTTGCCATCAAAGCCCAGCGCGATGCAGCAGAAACCAACTGCCTGTGTGAGACCAATGGATGTCCAAGATCAGGCGGGAGAGGAATCGCCAGGTCTCAAACCTCTCCTGGAGGAATACCATAGAGAGCCCTTAGAAAAGATCTCGGATCTGAAGGTGAATGCCAGAGCCAAACTATTCAAATCAGAAATCCCTTCTGAGCCCGTAAAGGTGAGTTAGGAGACTCTGTTGCTGGCAGGGTAAGCTCAGCTATGGGAGGACAGGTCACCAAAGGGCAGAGACTACGAGCAGCATTGATGGCTGTGCACACTTTATCATTTTTAGAAGGTGTATTTTAAGAGTGCCTTTTGCCAGTACATCTGGGGGAGATACCTGGATGGTGAAAATGCAGCACTCGCCATGATTCCGTGTCTGTTTTATCAGTGAGGCTGCAGCAGGCCTTATGGTTAGAGCGACTGCTTCTGTTGCTGTGACTTTTGTCTTGCCTGTAAAGATTGTTGAAAAGAAGAAGGGGGAAATGATACGCTGAGAGGTCAGGGGATGATGTACCTACAGTCAGTACATGCAGAGCGTCGGTACTCAGTGCTGGTGAGTAGAAGTCCCATATGTTCGCTGAGTACTGGGACAGCTGACTGTGCAGGGAGTTCTATGGTCACCTGGTAGGATGAAGGTTTTTGGGCTTTTTGGGGTTTTGGGTAGTTGTCTGTTAGGGTTCTCCTAAGTGAGTTTGTACGATGTAACTGTAGACCCTCAGGGAAGTATCAATGTAAACAAAAAATATCCTGAAGATTTCTACCAGATGGACTTAGCCCTTGGGAAGCACGAGACCATTCTGTTTCCCGCTCCATCGAATGTTTTTTGAGCAGTTTCTCGAAGGAAATTTAGTGCAGAAATGGAATTGTAAATCATAAGCAAGATCCTGAAAGCCCTCTAAAATTCTGCATTCAGGGAAAGACTGGAGGCTCTTTCTTGTCCCCCAGCTATGAGCAAAAGGAGCAGAGCACTTTTGTGTTTGTTGTTGTCAGCAGAAGGCATCCTGGGCAGCAAGCTCGAGCATATCTTAGTTCTAGTCACTGAACTTGTCCTTTCTCTGCCAAGGACTGAGAGCTAAGGCAGCTGGGCAAGGAGAGAGGTGGAGAGAGTTTTGTGTTTTGCCTTTGTAAGAGAAAGGGAGAGTGTGGGTGCCGTCTGCCTTTTGTGGAAGAGGGTGTTGATCAGCTGCAAGTGGCTGTAGGCAATTTCTTGTGGAAAATGAGAGTTCCATATTTTTCCTTATAAAAAGGCTAATAACTCTTTCTGTGTGAACTTTAAAACAGAAACAAATTAAAAAAATAACCCCTACAATTCCTGAACCTGAAAGAAGTCAGAAGAAAATCTTGTGTTAACTACCTGCCTGTACCTCCTGTACTTGATGCAGTTTCGCTGCTTTTGTTTGCTCGGCAGCTGGATTTTCAGTCACGTGTGCTTTAAACAGCAAAGAAAGCAACCTTTGTTCAGTGAAAACAGAAACGAGAGTGCTCAGAAAGTATGAAGTTCGGGAAGTCCTGGGGAAATTTTCTTGTCCATTTTGAAGATTCACCTAAGCCACTCTCCTACACTTCAGCTTTTGCTGACTGTGTGTACACTGGCCTGAAGAGCCCCACGGGCTGAGCGAGTGGGATGTTGGCGAAGGAGAGCTGCTCGTCCATCCTATTACATTCTGGACCTCTTCGCTAAGAAGGCGTATTTGGATTCTTGTTACAGTAAAACTCTTCTCTCTCTGCTGCCTAAGACTAGTCAAAGGGATTTTTCAGGCTGCTGAGAAGAGCTTAATAGTCTATGGAGGAAGCAGAGATGAGAGTTGAAACTTTTGCGTTTAACAGGCAAAGAAAAGTCCGTCTTCAGGAAGAAACTGGGGTGGAAGACACAGTAAAAGAAAATGGATTAAAGCAGCAGTAACTCTCAGGAAGACACTGTACCCGCTACCAGCCAGGGACCCTGCAGAATGTCAGAACAGGAAAAGGGTTGAGTTTTAAGCCCTTAAGAGCTTAGGGCCTCTACTTTCCTCAACCAAGGATGGCACTGATTGGTATTAGATTCTCTGCCAAAGGGGTCCTGTGAAGACACGTACTGTTGTAAATCAAAAGGATCCAGTGGTTAATCTGCCTAAACAAAGACGCTTTGCCTATGGTCTCTGACAGTCAGATTGAAAGTCACTTCTTCAGGACGTAACTGATTGCTTGAGATTATTTCACTCCAAATGGGTTTTCCAAATTAAAATACTGTTGTTCTTGAACTGCTGCCTTGAATAAGACCTGTTAACACTCTTCACCATTTTCTAAACTCATAAATGTTTAACAAAGCAGGAAAGCACGTCCCTTATCAAGGTAAGCATTTATGTCTCAATGTATGACACTCAAAACCTTTAAACGGGAAACAGTGTGCTTTCTTTGATTTCTACTTACTGGTTCTGTTACACATCACAGCTGTGACTCCTAAAAAGAAAGTACAAGTGTTAGAATCAAATACATCATCTGCTCAATAGCACGTATCAGTATCCATTTCCTTGTGTTTGTTACTGTAATCGATCCTTTGAGCAACGTGACAAAAAAAATAATCCGAAGTCTCCAATAGTCTAACTTGACTATGTAGCTTAGCAAGCAAGGATGCATGCAAGTAACCATCACACATTCAAAATCCATTGTGACTTCTAAAGATAATTTCTCCTAAAAGCCTTTACCTATGAAAGGAGGTGCAAGAGTTGGAAAGCTCATCAGATGAAAGCAGCCAAGATGGACTTTCTAATTTATAAACTTGGAAAAAGAGGTTCCTTTTGTTGGAAGAAATTGGGAATCTGGGGGGAGGAGAGGAAATCAGAAGGGGGCTGACTGGGTTTCCCTAAAGCAAGCAAAAGTGGAAGTATTTCGGTCAGGAAATGAATTTGGGATCATTCTTTTTT